TTATTTTAAGAAGGGGATACAAATGAAAAAAAATTTTAAATTTATAACTTTTTCCATTTCATTGAGGCAGCCGTTAAACACTTCCATCATCCCCTACTTCTTTCTCTTTCATTAATTTTCTCATTGGACCCCAGTAACGTCTTTTCTCCTCTTTCCCAGCGATCAAAACGGAATAGTCCATTATTTATGAGGTAGTGGCAGGAAACGTTAAATATTTAAATATTTAATTCTTTCTTTCTTTAATTCTTTCATTCTTTAATTCTTTCTTTCTTTAATTCTTTCTTTCTTTCTTTCATTCTTTCTTTCTTTAATTCTTTCTTTTTCTCACTGAAACCAAGCAGAGACATTTTTTCCTCTTTCCACGCGATCAAAACGGAAAAGTCCATTATATTTATTAGGTATTGGCAGGGTGTAAAGATCATGCGAACTAATGAAGGGAGGGACAAACACAGTTATAATAGGTTTTTAGATATTTCCAAAGTCAGAGTCAGGTATTTCTGTTAGCAAATATCTCCATACACGGATTAATACGGGGGTGTGTTTTTAAGAGAGAGAAAGAGCAAAGCATAAATATGAACAAAGCACAAAACACTAGCATTTAACGAAGAAAATACATCACGATATAAATTTTGTGCTGCAAAAGAAAAATAAATCAAAATGAAAATAAAAACCACAAAAGAAAAATAAATCTTATAAAAATATATGCACCGCAATGAAGAAATTGCTGGTATTTTTTGTAAATATAATTCTGCGTTTATAAGAAAATAAAGATAAATATATTTTAGACGTTTTAACGAAAACAGAAAAAGAGATAACTAAACCACAGAGGAAAATGGTGAGGGAAAATTCAGTTGTTTCAGTAATGTTTCTTCCTGGATATTGAAAGTATTTCCGTTTCCATGGTATCATGATGTATTTACCAGCACTGCATATCTCCAAATATTTATAACGTATTTTAACAAGTGTATATTTCCTGAAGAGTTTCATATAATTAAATGGGTGTTTGTTATAGAACGAAAAATACGGTAAATTAAAAAATAATGTTTCAAGCATGCGATATCAAAAGGTATGATGAGTGTACTGTTGTGAATATGGATTATCTCCTCTTAGATAATCCAAGCTATAAAAGCTGTATATTTCCGCTGTCAAGTCAGATGAGTAGTAATGTTTTTTTTTTTTAAAAAAAAAAAAGCATTACTACTCATCTGACTTGACAGCGGAAGTATACTGCTTTTATAGCTTGGATTATCTAAGAGGAGATAATCCATATTCACAACATGTACCTTACTATGACTTTTTTATTTATTTACCGTAATTCATCATGTATAATATTATGTTTTAGAAAAAATACGTAAGCAAAATTACTTAACAATACTTACATATGTAAAATAAAATAATTATTATAAAACTAAATTAGAATAATATTATTCTATGTTTAAAATCATTTTTTTTTAAATAAAAGTAGGAATCGCTGGCCGTAATGAAATTAGAGAGGGACAATTTATAGAGTTTGATTACCAAACAAGGGGTGCGTATTATGCGTGAGTAGAATCATTTTCCCCACACTTTCAACAAAATGTTAGAGGTGCGTATTATGGATGAAGGCGTATTATACATGGGGAATTACGGTATTTATTTATTTATTTTTGCATTATCTTGGAGTAGACAGTTAAAAAATGCTATTTAATACGAACCGAACCAATTCTTTTCTAAATTTGGTTAAACAAGAAATTTTAATGATTGTATATTTTAGAAATAATTTGATCGTCTTCGTTGTCTTTCTAAACAACTTTTCGGGTCTATACCCTCCGGTTTTCCTTGTTGACGAATCCTAATTCGAGGGTACATGCACATCTCACTCCTTTACACGTCACATCCGGTTTTTGCGTCCCTATGTTTTGGGCGCTTTATTTCCTTTCGACCGCCACACTAACCTCATGACTGCTCTTTGAGCTTCGTACGCGTTATCACATCCACAGTGCCCCAAGTTCATTCCTTGTTATTTCTTTCTTTCTTGTTTATTTAATTAGTAAAACCGGAATTCGTTTTAAACATACTCTCTGTCCAAATTTAATAAAAACTCATCAAACATGTCTTGAGTTATCTTCTGAAGAAACATGTCTAATTGATTCATCTGGAGAAAAAATCAACATCATAAGTGAAATATTCAATATTTTGCCACATTTGTACCAGAGTTTGATGCTCGCTCCCATGTACAAAGCTAGGATTTCGAAGGTTGATTTGCTAGGCAGGTCTTTTCATTTAGACGATTAGCCCAGCAAGACCTGATGTTGTCCTGAAGAATTTCTTTTTAGATTGAACTTAAAATGTTTAAGTTAAACTTAATAAATACGTGGGACAGTAATAAGTTGACTGATAATTGATTAAAATTAGCATTAGTAGTTTTAGTGGCCAGCTATTCAGAGCTTACGAAAACGTCTTTTTATTTAATAACTCAAAATATTTCCTTTATTCTATAAAATACGATTTTAACAAAGCAAAATTTTAAAAATTATAAAGTAATATCAATTTTAAATTTTAAAATTAATTTACTTAAATATTGATTATAATTCCGGTTTAGCTATATGGTAAAAATGGTGTCTTACTCGCCTTTAAGGTTCTGAAATTAAAAGCGTCTTTTTTTTCTTTTTTTAAATGCCATGTCCCTTCATGAGTAGACGATCATGGCCCTCCACAGATTCTTTTTTTTTTATCTGTGAACTATTATGACTTCTTAGGAAATATAACTGAGAGGCTTCTCTACTGTTTCCGATAAGACGAGAAGTGATGTGTTTGTGCCTTTTCCAAAGATAGTAGAGCGAAATTGAGCACAACAAAAAAAGGCGGGAATTTGAACACGTCTCACCGATTCCACTTTCTGTCCCGATAAACATTACGCCACCCGCACATCCAAACTGCCAGTTACTTTATAATAAGAAAACATTTTACTGATATTTTTTAATACTTAAAGTTATCGATATTTTTCTAATTACCTCTTAATTCTTTCCTGGTTAAATTAAATGTAAAACAAGTTGGCAGTTTTATAAATAAATTAATTATCCTTGTAAAAATTTAGAAATTAGAAGCTACTTTTTGTAGTTTATCTGAAATGAATGTATTCAAATTTAGATAAGTAATTAAAACTCATCCGGCCGTAGAATATGTAATTTCCCTATGACGCACCCCTGCAAAGGAGAAACACTTACGGGGAAAAAAAACAGTCAGAATCTGACGTATACACGTTGATCTAGATATTTATTACAGTTTCTTTTTATTCTACTAATTTTCTGGCCTCAATGAAATTTTAATGAAGGAAAACACCCGGTTAATTAAACTGTTCAGAGCTAAAATATTTCGTCTGTATTGAAAATGGCTTAATGCAATGTCACGTTAAAACACCAGTTCTAGTACGATCACCGAAGTTAAGCAACGTCGAGCTTGTTCAGTACCTAGATGGATGACTGCTTGGGATGGGCTTAATGGATAATAAATCGGAATTATTAATCAGAGAGCCGAGTTCCAATTCCAGTTGAGTTTGTTATATTCACATACGTGCAAATACCCTTGGGAAAGGTACAAAATATTTAGATGTCGGCATTAAACAACTCATAGAGGTGTTGAAATGCCATGAAACAAAAACAACCAACCAACTGAAAATGATAGCTATTTTTCCAATATTAGTCATTAAATGAAAATATATTTTTTCTTGTTAATATAAGCTACAAATAATGTTTCTTTTTTATCGGTAAGCGATAAAAAAGAAACATTTATTATTATTATACAAGCAGATGGTTAAATGATTATGAAGACAATTAAATTGTCTTGTACAAAATCCTATTATATTAATTATAAAATTTCACCGCCATCTCGATAGTTTTAGGGGTGCAACTTTTTGCTCAAACTAATAACTAAACAAAATACTAAATTTCACCACTTGGCCCCAATCTATGAAAATACTCTACACCTGACCATGACGGACATTAATTCCCAAAATAAATCAGAAAAAGCTCTTTTCGTTTCTGTTTTTGTTTCTGTATCTCACATTCCAGAAAATAAATACCATGGATTTTATCTCTGTTTTTTACGGTTTATCAGCCTTTTATCAATCGGTTTATTTACAGCCAAGATATATTTGTAAAAAATAACACTTTTAAAAAAAATTGGTGCAGTAACACTATTTTGAGCATAACAATAAATTTCCCACGTAGTATTATTTAACCCATAGCTGGGAGTAGGAGACTGTTTCATATCTTCCCTAAAGATATTTAGTAAATACAACGAATCAGACCAGAATTCGAACTCGGCTTTTCGATTTCTGATTTCGGACCGCTATTTATTACACCACCCGCACAAAGCACAATGGGAAATGTTTACAGTAGATATTGTACATATAAAGAATATATATAAAATCAGTTTTTTTTCCAAACTAAATATCTTATTAGAACCACCAAAAACATTTTTAACATCTTATTTAAACACCCACCCACCCCGTTTCACACGCATACACAGTTTATTTTGTGGTGCCATGTTTGCGTCAAAAAATGAAACTAAGATCTAATTCTAATTTCTTGAACATTTTCTCATTTTCATATATATATATATATATATGTATATATATATATATATATATATATATATATATATATATATATATATATTAGAACTTATATATATTGAATTCGAACTTAGTTTCATTATATATATATATATATATATAATTCAAATTTGTTGAACATTTTCTCATTTTCATATCATTTGATATGAAAATGAGAAAATGTTCAACAATTTGAATTATATATATATTTATATAATGAAACTAAGTTCTAATTCTATATATATATATATATATATATATATATAGGCACAGTGGAGTAATGGATAGCGGCTATATATATATGTATATATATATATATATATAGAGAGAGAGAGAGAACTATCCAGTCTGATAACATCAGGAAGTCTCCTTTCTGACAAATCGACAATGGAGAGATTTCTCATGATCAGAATGCGAATACATAGATAGATAGATAGAGAGAGAGAGAGAGAGAGAGAGAGAATATATTA